TCCGAAACTCGTCTCTTATCATACTTTTAGTAATTCTGTGCTCTTAAAGTGTACTCAAAGGCAAATACGTTAATTGCCAGTTGACTGACAGCTGGAAAACACTGGGATTTCACGCTGGGGTTGCGGTAATTGTTTTCAGATTTGTTTTGGAGTGTATTTTTGATCAAATTTGTGAGAGAGCGAGTGAGAGAGAAGGAAAGAAGAAGGAGAGGGAGCCAGACACTACTCATGGGGCCCATTAGGAAATTGCCAGTAAGCAAAGTTGCAAATAAGCTGTCACACAGTACAAATGAGATTACCTTTCCAATGTGCCCTGGAACCTGCACGCCGGGGGATGCAGAACCAGTCGCAGCAAAACAAGGCACAATCGTCTGATTTATCTCAGCGCTTGATCTTCTGGATGTGTTCTTTCTGCCTCTGTTTTTCATGCATGGTGTGCAAAACAGTTTACAAAGTGCTTGCAGCACAGGTTAATCAGTTGTAGACAACCTCTGAAGCGAGTCGACGCAGTGTTTCAAGTCAGGGATTTCACTTAAAGTCATCAGTTCCGAGTTTGTACACGTATATAGAGAGACTTTCTGTCTAAGCTGTTTACATTTACTGCTCTTTAGTCACTTCTCGATCAGTTTGTTGATGAATTGATGTTTTGCTTTCATTGTTGAAGAGATACAAGAGTCAATAGCTGCAAGTGTCTCTTCCATTGTGGCCACATTTATGTTTCAGGGGTTGATTTCTATTCAAATGATTACATTTAAGGTCATATTAAAGCTGCAATCCGTAGCTTTTTTGGGTTAAAAATGATCCAAAATACATATTTGAGAAAATACATAAGCCCTTGTTAAAAACTCTCTGCTTGCCGTAGCTTATTCAAAGCGGTAAGCTTGTAATAATGTTTTTAATTCCAGTGGTACTGGTGGATTTCCGCGGGAGATTATAGCATGTCTTTGGGTCATCACGTCACATCTGAACACATAAAGGAGTTTCGGCTAGTTGGCTATATTGCGTGTGAGGATGTTAGAGGTGGAGATTTATAGCCTTTTCTCACAGCACTTGATAAAATTAAACTTATCAATTTGATTGCAGATCCAGAAAGGTTCAAACGACAATCACCAGGGACAACTAGAGATTCACCCGCTGTAAAATGTAAAAGACTTCGTTCGGACTTCAGAGTAGCTACAGGAAAAAAAGAGACTGCAACCGACAAACGAGGATACATTTCGGAAAGACATTACATGTAGTCACGTAGTGCTTGCTTACGTTGTTAACATTATGTTGTAAATTTAATCAGTGTGATTTACTGCTATGCCAGAACCAGAACAAAAGTGGATGTTTCTTACTAGTTCAGATGACATTTTCCGGTGAAAATCCTTATGTTGGTCATACTTCCAAAAAGAATAATCTGTGATTTTGAATGCCAGTATCCACACCGGCACGGCGACTGACACACACAGTCTCCTCAAACATTGTGTTCATCCACGCTGTGCAGTGTCGAGGGTGTTGAAGTACAACTCACGTATAGTTGATAATTCCGCGAATGACTGCAATTGCAGATTTCGAACAGAGATGGCGAAAAAGCGGAAAAGCTGCAGACTGCAGCTTTAAAGGGTTAGTTCACCCAAAAATGAAAATTCTGTCATTAATTTCTCAGCCTCATGTCGTTCCAAACCGTTAAGACATTAGTCATTAGTCATCTTAGGAACTCAAATGAAGATCTTTTTCTAATGAAATCAGAGAGCTTTTTGTCCCTCCTTTGACAGCCTACGCAACTACCACTTTCAAGCCCCAGAAAGGTCATAAAGACATCATTAAAGTAAACCATGTGACTCCAGTGGTTTAACCTACATTTTATGAAACGATGCGAGTCCTTTGTTAGCGCAAAAAGACAGTTTACCACTCAATTTACAAAATTTTGTAAAAACAAATTAAGCTAAATGATGTTTTCTTTTTTGTGTGTGTGTGCAATGGACTCAAAGTACTTCATAAAATTGAGGTTCAACTCCTGGAGTCAGAATAGTGCCGCTAACTAACTAAAATAAATTATTAAATGTCATGCCTTCATCCTTTTCTACTTTTCAAATGCCTTTTTTCTGTAGATTGTATTGTTTTACTTTTGTCCCAGACCCAAAATTTGAAAATCCCTCATAAAAAATGAATTATGATAACTAAAACTATATTGAAATAACCACTTACAACATTTATTGTGTGAGAATGATTGAGCGTATACTGTATATTTTTGCAAAAATTTTGGCCCACAGTTGTAGCATCATTTTCATCACTGCACTGATGATGAAACATGAAATGGCATGTGAAGACAAAGAAAAATTAATTATGAATCGAATATTTTTATTCTGTCATTTCTAACCAAGCTGTATATAGATATATATTAAGCTAAGATTAAGTCTTTTCAGAATCTTTTAATGAGCCATTTACATTTATTTATTTATTAACTTAGCTGCACTATTTATATTTAATACCTTGAAGGATAATTTTAGAGACTGAGAATAAAACACACAAAGCAATTAAGAACATGAAGCTGTTCTTACATTAATATGAGAACTTGATCACAGCATGTTTGCCAACTGATTCAAATCATAATTTACATTTGGATGCTAGTTATATTCACTACAAAAAGTTGTCAGGATGCCGTGAACTCCATATCATGAACTCAAGTGTGAATGTTTATGAGTCACTATGATCAGAAGATAGATAAGAGCTTCAAGTGACTGCACTTCCACTTTCTATATACAAGAAAAAACAGGCCACCAGTGTCCTTGCCTGACAATATTTCTCATTCCAGCTATGATGATGTGCTCATTGGTAACGATGGGAAGCCAATCATTGCCGAAACAGGCAAAACAGAATTTATGCCGATTTCACTGAATTTACAGTGAGCGAATTTGGGGTTTATTTTGTGGTAAGGCTTCTTTTTCTTGACTCAAAGTTTGTATTGTGGTGTAACACAAGTCTATTTTCATTCTACCGAAACACCATTTCTGTAGACAACCAGGAGACCCTCATTAAATTCACACCAAATGTATGATTCTGTCACACCCACAAAACCCCTCTAGTTACAATAGTCCCATTCTAGGGCTTCATCTTGTTTATCTTTTGTAGGACCCAAAATTACTACATTTAAACTATTCTGGCGAAAGTCTGAATGAACCATGTTATTCAGATGACGATGAGGTTTATCTCAAACTGTTACCTTTAGCGTGTGTGGACACCACTGTCATCATCATTCAAAGCTATTGTGGTACATTCCCTAGCAGAAAGAAATCAAATAAAGAAGCGAAGCACTGCTATGATATTTGCATTGACAGCAGAACATGCAAACTTTCTTCTTTAAATGCAAACTGCAGTATGTGGTTGAGTGTTGGCGGGTGTTGAAGGGCAGGCTGTGTCTGAGAGAATCAAGCGTCCTGTCGAATGAAATGTGAAAGGAGATTAGACTAAACAGATCATCGACTTATCTGTGAGGTATATTATTGAATTACACTACGTGTACACACGTGTCTACTATTATCTCTGGTTGATAAGTGAGTATACACTGCTCCTCCTTGTAGAAATTCATTTGAAACCATTTTAAAGAAGCCAAATTAATAATTATTTAATTTTTTTTCCCTATTTATTATCCCAGGAATATTTCTGAAATTCATCTCTGAAGTGCTTTTTGATGCTTTGTATGATTTGACCCAACCCAAATGCCATATATAGGAAATAATGTGTCTGTATAAATGCACGTTTTGGCTGCAAAAATAGCTTTGAAGATTTACACCGATATTCCTGAGGAAGAAAGATAAGACCCATTGAGGCATGTTGTCACACTGCAAGTTGTCACTGTGGTTTTCAGCACAATTTGAAAAGTTAAATACAAATGCAAATAAATAAATGCATGCATAAAACAGCAAAACAATTAAATGGTAATATACAAACAACAACAAACACAAAACACAAACAGACTAACAGCAATAGTTTTAGTTTGTGGCATCAAAAAAGAAAAAGAAAGAAGGAAAGGGTAACCACCATAGCAATAATATAATAATATTTCATTTTATTTTGAAGACACCCCCCCCCACACACACACCTTAAAAATATTCTTATTTAATAATAATAATAATAATAATGTTTAACATAAACTTATCAAACCACTACTACACACACATGCATGTGTTTTGTTTTCATGTTTTATGGGGACTTTCCATTGACAATGATTTTGTAGAAACTGTAGATTATATTCCCTTACTCTTAAACTATCACACAAAACATTATTTATTTTTTATATTAAATAATAATAATAATAATAATAATAATAAAAACAAGCTGTTTAACTCATGGGGATCACCAAATTTTCCCACAAGGTCAAATATTTCAGATATTGTTCCATAATATTACAGGACAATGTTACACACACATGCATATGTTGTGTTTTCATGTTTTATTGGGACTTTCCATTGACAATAATTTTATACTGTAGAAACTGTTTATATATCCCCTTACTCTAAACCTATCACATAAAACATTCTTTATTTTTACATAAAATAATAATAATAAATAAAACATAATTTTGAATGATTTATAAGTTGTTTTCCTCATCACCAAATTTTCCCACAAGCTCAAATATTTCAGATATTTTCCCCATAATGTTACAGGACACACACACATATATGCACTGCTTCCACTCCACATATTTTAGTCAAATTCTATTAGCATTATCCCTTCTGAAGTTTTTAAGTTGGCCCACAGAATGTCCTTCTCAGGCCACCACAGCATGGCTGAATGAATCAAAATACGCATTTCATTTTATTTTGTAACAAAATGTAATCCTGATCCCTAAATGCAGTGCTTGCAGCAGACACAAAGAGGACATCATACAGGCTTTAATAAATGGTGACACAATTCACAATGAACAATCACAGTTATTACACTGTTTGCACAATAATATAAATACACCCGGCCGTTGTGAGGAAGAGATATTGCATGAGAGCTGACTGAGACTGCCATACATGGGCAAATTTCTGTGACTAAGTGTGTGTGTGTGTGTGTGTGTGCTGCCGGCTGGAATTTCGCCTTCTGACGTCACTGCCTGTTACTATCCTAGATTTGGGAAAAAGAAGTTTCACTTTAAGTGGGGATTTGAAAGTCTGTGATTCCTAGAAAGAGAGGTAAGAGAACTATTAAAGCTTTCGAGGGGCGGCTCCATGCGCTGAAACAACGATCGCAGGCCCGAGACAGCGCAGCGTTGTTAATGCGCGAGAGCTCCACAGCTCGAACTATTTTTGACAACTATATGTTCTTCAGTGAGAGATTCGAGCTGTGCCATTGAAATGGAGGGCGTGGGATTGCTAGAAGGAGGGGGGCGAACTTTGTTTCTTGTATTTACCTCGCAGCCTAAAGATGTGAGCGAACATTTAGAAGGTTTTCGGCGTACTTTGAATACGATTAGTAGATTGTTGCAACGAATTTCTGAAACGGACCGTGTTGTGATTCAGAAACATTCTTGCGTTGTTGTGTTTCTTTTGAAGAATGCGGAAGTAAATAGGCTGGAGGGTTCGTGCTGGAGGATTGTAACAGAGACGTGGCTTCTGCTTACAACAGCGAAAGATCAGTGATCATCATGGCCATGTGCTTTGCTTGCGTTGTTAAATTAAAATGTCAGTGTGATGCTGCACAACTTACACCAGAGTTTTGTAACACATTATGTGTACTTGTTTACATGTTAATAGAGGGAATACCTGAATGTTACTTTGACTATATTGTGATTTAAAATCTTTTTTCTCTGAATTGATTTGACATATGGATATATGTTGCTCTGCGAGATGAATGCAGGGTACCTTGAAGTCTCTGCAACACACACAAAATGCTCCACAAATATTGACAGAGATTTGTTTCTGATTTCAAAGGTGGCAAACAAATGGGTGGTTTATCTTAAGGTGTATTTGTTTATATTTTATAGTTTCATTATTCTGTTTTTTACACTCATATATTTACATTAGGGCTATTGAAACCACAGCATGAATGCTCTGGTAATTTGGGTGCAGAAACAGAAACACGCTAGTTTGAACGTCTGTCTGGGTGATTTGAGCCTGTTGCTTTTAAACTGCTTCTTAAACCACAGTATGGAGGTAGTTATGTTGCACCCAGTGTTTAGACAGTCTTGTGAATTTAATGTTTAATATGCAATTTGTTGCGCTTTGTAGCGGCCATTGATCTTCAGCAAACCAACTGGTGATAATAATTTGGGTTTGTTTTGTCCCTGTCATTCATGGGTTTAATTGCTGAAATAGATATTGTTTCTATTTACATTTGCAAGTAAATGAGATTATCATTTTGATGATTTTTTTTTTTTGTTTGTATAAAGCATGAATCCAATGCTGCAATCCGTGCATTTAGTCCAATATTGGCTACACTTGTGTGTGCAACTAATAGTATGAACAGAAATCTTTCCTCCTGAAAGACATTTTCTTGTCAGAGAAGCAAATATCTCCATTTCAAGTCATCTAAAATGTCTAGAATACAGACATTGTTCATCTTAAAAGTAGCTAAGTGCTAAAATATTTATCTGTTTCCTTACAAAGACGGCATTCAGAATTCTACTTTGAAATGAATCTCTAATCAATAACATCAAGGCATCCCAGCCATCAAACTGAATAATTTCTGACAAACCCCCCCTCTAGCCTCCCCCCAAAAAGTTTTAACTCCAAACTACATCTCACCCAACAGTAGGCATTAAAAAAGAGGACGTGTTTGACAGGCTAGTGATGCTTAAAGTTAAAAGATGAATCCTGCCTTTGAGCCTAGTCTTCCATGCTCACTCCCTTGACTGTCGTTTTGCCATTAGTGCAGACTTTCTATGAATATTGACTCGGTGCCGTATGACTGTAAGTTACTGTAGGATCAAAATATCGTGCCTTCTTTCTGTTGCTATGGAGACTCCATCATCAGGTGCTGTCTGGAGCAAGAGTGACAACTGAAAGTTATAAATACACAAATAAACAGAGCAAGGATAGTGAGCATTTAATATAATTGATGTACAGTATGTAACAGTTAATCCTGGTGTCATGAACAATTCAGTTCACTCATTGAATCAAGTCCTAGACAGAGACTTTCCATTGTAAAATTATATTTATTGGGAGCTACATTCAGTGCCTGTTTAGAATAATATGTTTAAAAGTGCTGATGCTAAATAGGCCTGTAAAGAGGGTCATATAAGAAGGGAGTTGTGTGACAGCTAGGACGAAGCACAGGCATCGCAGATAAAACAATTCAAATGTGCACAATAAAACATTTGGAGTAGGATTTACTTGAAAAGAAAATGCTTGTAAATTTACAAAGATTTGCCAAGAAAAAACCTAAACATATTTATCAGTAGCTTTAATTAGAAATCTTTAAGTTAAACTTACTTGGAATATGGAATTAAGTAAACTTTACAAAAAATAAATAATTTAACTCGGCTAGTAAAAGGTTGATTAATATCGATTTCCTTTGCCTTTGTATTACATTTAAAACAATAATCTTGACTTTTATTAGTCATTTATAGTATGTGCTTTACTTAGATCATCTAAGTAATTTATATTACACCATGTCAGATGTTAAGCATCATGTGAATGCAAAGACCTGGTAGACAATACACATGGCGGTAACATTTGATGGGTTTTTTGTTTGAATGTGTCATTTTGAGCAAAAAGTTTACTCGAAATGTCACAAAATGGCAAGTTACTTATACTGACAACAAAAATCAATGATAAAACAGTGTAAATACAGCTGGAAACCAGTGAAAAATGAACCTCATTAATTATTCAAGGTCCAGTGCATGATGGGAACCCCAGTATCAGAAAAGTTGAGTAATTTTTACTTAATTTTATTGAGTTGATATTTACACTTTCATTTCTTCTTGCTTGAATTAAGTACTGATATGGAATTTACTTTTTTTTTATTAATTCTTGCCTTAACTAACTTTTTCAAGTAAATTATGTTGTTTTTTTTTTCACTAGTATTTACTTCACCCAAAAATCATTTTTTACTGTGTATTCAGCAACTGTTTTCAACATCAACAATTAGAAAGGTGTCTTGGACACTAAAACATTACCCATATGAATGGTGCAGAAGACTTTTGTGTCAGAAGTCAATATTCAATATTTTATGTATTTAAATGACCTTCGCTGTCATTTTTATTACTCATATTTAATCTTTAATTACACAATTTATTTATTAATTTTATCAAATCTCAAAACGATTATCCAACTGTAATACTTTAAATTATAATGTTGTGATGCCCAACAATATATTGATTTAATTATTTTTTTAAACAAAATATTTATTCATTTATACAACCAGCCATTTATCAGTTTTCAGTCATAACATTGGAATCATTTTCAGCTTGAATTGGCCATAATTTAGATTTGGCCATATCCCTTGTTTTTTTTTTGGAAATGTTTTTGTTTGTGGAGCACAAATAAGTGAAATACTAAAATATTTTAGATAAAAATATTACTGGCCACATTTTATCTGAAATTTCAGTTACTAATTATGAACTTTTGTATAAAAGCAATATCTCAGTCCTGGATTTCAGCACGGCTGTGATTACAGTAACTGCGGCCTTGTGCCTACAGCTGAATCAGATGTGTTTAAATTAGTCTGACAGTAATGTATTCCATCTGAAAGCATAATTTGCTCAATGAACAAGTTTTGAACAAAGCTGTAATTTCCAATGAGTCTCAGTCCTCGATGACACATTCAGTAGTCTGATAGAACAGCTGCACTTCTGCTCCATTTTTCTATTGCACTCCAATTTCCAAGAGGCATAGTGAGGACGGATCTGTGTAGTTTAAGTACACAGGAAACAGACATGCAGGATGAGAGGTGGATGAATGAGTGTACAGCGACTCTGTCCTTTAGGATGTGGTGTGGAACAGGCTCCGGACCGCGAGACGGATGATGCTCGCGCGGTTATGATTTACAGCAGACTTGTGCTCATTTCTCACTGCACTCATTGACACAGTATAAGGAACGCTGCCCGACTAAAAGTCAGCTGCACTGTGACTTTGATCTCCCTCTGAACTCTGGGTAATCAAGCTTCCTCACATTCCCTTCAAGTGCTCGCAAGGAGAAAGACAGATTGCCACATTAGCATACAAGGCTAAGAAGACACCTGCAGCCGTAAAAAGGACATGCAGTGTTTTAGCCGGAGATAGAAAGAGGAAGGAGCGAGCCGATAAGAGGAAGGACAGCTGAGATGTGTTCACACACATTTAGAAACATGAGAGTCGTATGCTTATTACCACGGCCGGACAGGCCTTCTCGATTTATGTGGATTAAACGCTGTTCCGCTTGCCCAGGTTGTTATTGATGAAGTGTTTCATCACTCTCTTTTGTTGAACCTTCACATTTCCTTTGGCCCACTGTCCGTTGACAACCAAATAAGAATGTATTGGCCGCATCCTCCCTTTTCTTTGACAAATACCAAGTATGTGAAGCCTGGTTTATACTCGCCGGTTTCACACGAGCGTGAAGGTGAAATGACATCATCGTGTGACGGTGTACACAGAATTTTTGTAAATTTGTGCACGCATCTGCTTTCGTAGATGCACGACTTGTTTCAACCCACTGACTTGATTTTAAAAATATTCACAGCATTAATAACAGATAGATAAGTGTTTTTCTACACTTGGTTGAGCGTATGTGTTAAAGCTCTCTGACCTGCTATGATTAGCTTAAGATGCAGCAAGATAATGACACCTCTTTATATGGCCATATTTCAGACTCGCAGAACGCAAAAAATAAATTACGTCTAATTTGCAATCAGTAGTTTGGTCTTGTTTTTTATTAAAATAATTCTAAACATTCTTAAAACTAGAGATGTTTTTACACTTAATTTAAATAATTATTATTATTTATTTATTTTTATTTTTTTTGCATTTCATGCCAGGTTCTCTTTTTTTTGTTTTTGAAATGTGCTTTTTCTTTGTAATTAGAGTCTTAGACACCCCAAGCTGTTATATATATATATATGAAGAGTTCAGATGCAAAAGCCTCATTTGAAATTTTCTTCTAAAATGATCATTTTTATCAAGCTTGTATATTTAAGTTCAGCAATTTCACTTAAATGGCAATGAAGATTACCTATTAATTGCCATTTAAGTGAAATTACTGAACTTAAATATAC